CCCCCCCCCCCCCCCCCCCCCCCCCNGCCCCTGTGTTCCCACTTGACCGTTGCAGTCGAGTGAGCCTCAAAATGCCAACGTGCCTGCTTCTGTTGGCCGGCTGTGCGTGCAGGATCAATGACTTGCCCTTCAAGATTGACTACATTGCGGTGCGTCTGCATGCTGCGTGTGCGTCTGCGCTGCGCTACACAATGGCTGGCCACTCTACCAGTGGTGCTGGGTGCAGATGTTGCTGGACAGTTGTGTCGCCTGTCCCTCGCCCATTGACTGGCTCTGCTTTTCGAACCTTCACCTACCTTTTTGCAGCTTGAGCAGTACACCGGCATTACGGAGGAGTGGATCCTGACAAACCCTAACTTCACAGCGCACCCCTTCCACATTCACGTGTACCCATTCCAGGGTACGGCCCCGGCAGCAGCGTGCCACATGCACGCACTTGCACCTTAGGCTGTGCCCGTGCCCACCACCTTCTAACAAAGGTTGTTGTCTATGTGCCCTGTCCACCGCTCCCTCCTGTAACTTTTCCTTGCCTGCTGCAAATTGATTGCAGTCAAGTATGTCAAGAGCAAGCTGAACAAGGTTTATCCTGATGTCGTGGAGGTGAGCCACCGGCGGGGAGCAGGCCTGCATTGGGCGTTCTGCTTGTGGCCTTGACGCGCTCCCCACACCCACGCCATCCCCTACCCGCCCTCCGTACCCGCCCTTCAGACGCCCGCCGAGAAGGAGAATTTTAAGTCCTTGACCAGTGATACCTATAAGGACGACGGCGACACATACAGCCACTGGCGCGGTAATCTACTTTTTTTGCCAGCCTTGCCTTCACAGACAGCCTTCCCAGTGCACCAGCACATTTGACAGAATGTGATGGCAAAACGTGCCTGGCGGGATGTGAGGCAGACTGCTGTCCGCTTGCCGTCCGCGCCAACACCGCAAACACTGCCATGCGCATTGCAGACACCATCATCATTCCTGCCTATGGCGAGGTGAAAATCTGGATTCGCTTTGACACTCTGCCCAAGAAATATGACCTGAATGGTGCGCCCGCCGCGGTCTGGCCAACGGTGGTATTTGGCTGCACGGTGCTTGCCTGCCTGCCACCCAGAATCTGCCTGCCTTGTTTCAACGAGCTGTCTGCTTGCTGCTTTGGCAACTGCCTACCTGCCCTGGCCAAAGGTGGTATCTGGCTGCACGCTTGCCTGCCCCACCTTCTCCAGGCAAAACCGTGTTCCACTGCCACTTCCTGCCTCACGAAGACACAGGTGACGCAGACAGATGCCTGCATGTTTCCTGGCTGTGTGCGCGTCAAGTCTTGAAGATCGATCATTCTAACCCTCGGCGCGTCTTGTGCTGTGGTGCAGGCATGATCACCAGCTGGCGCTTGCACGATGGCAAGTAGGGCAGGTGGCAGCTAGGCATTTCGCAATTGCCACGAGCCTGCCACATCTATGTCCAGCTGCGACGCGCTGCAACGCTCTGTTCCTCTCAGAACAGGCCTCAGCAGACGGCCTGCACAGGCTCTATCCCGTCGTAGTGCTACCCTGTGTTACAGTCACCCCGCTATGATAGGCCGCGTGAGCAGACCTTGGGCAGGGGGCACACGTGATCAAGGGGCATCAAGAGAGGGGGTGGACCATGGAGCACCCTCTCCATGGCTCCGACCACCCTCCCCCCAGCTGAGCGTCCCAGGGTCACCCCACCCTGGCCCCGCTCCCCGTCCTGCCGGACACGCAACCCCCACAACGTGGTGGGGGACGTGGGGATCCTTAGCAGCTTAGGCCTGCCAGGCCGACGGGTGCTGGTGCGGGCTCCCGGCGGCAGGCAGCGCCGCCGCCGGGCACTCAAATGGCATGGGGCACATGGGCCCCCATGCCCGCACATCTCCCAGGCACATGAAAATACCAGAAGGCTGCACATGTAAGGGTGCATGCATTGCAGGCAGGAGTGCAAAGTGGCCTGCCGCGGCGGTCGGCTGTGCCATTACTCAGTCAGCCGCCGCTACCGTGCCGGGCTTG